GTAATTGACATTTTGCACGACTTCTAGCTGATCCCCACTAAGTGTCAGCGTAGGATGTGGTCCGGACCAAAATAGCGCTGCCCACGAGGTTAAAATATTTCGTCCGATCAATCCCACACCCATCGGATCTAGCATAATGGAAAGGATTGGTAAAGATGAACAATCTTACTCTTGAACAAGGCTAATATCATCAGCAATTCGCACACGGCTTCACACAAGGTCGATGCTGCGCAGCATGCCAGACGGACTTTTAAACCACACAACGGCTGAATAGACAACGGAAACAGTGTCGTAATCCTGTTCCTGGATATAGAAAAATGCCTTTTATAGAGTGCCTCACATAAGGTTACTGAACAAACTGCATGCTGTAAGCATTGTAGTACCGATATTTTCTTGGCTATCTTTATTATTAGTTGGTAGACAGCAGGTGGTGCGCACCGGTGACCGTTTCTCTAAGCCGAAAGCAATCGCCAGTGGAGTGAATCAACGGAGTGTTCTTGTTTCTCTACTTTTTCTAATATATAGTAACGATATATTCCAAGGAATAAGAAATGGTGTTACATTTAGCCTTGTTGATGACATTAAAGTTGTCTACTCACAACCACGTGCAAATACCCAGGAAGCCGTCAGTCAGATTCAGGGTGACCAATCTGTCCTTGACTCCTGGTTCCAACTCTGGCAGATGTCATTTGCCGTGGACAAGTGTAGTATTTTGTCGTACAAATGCCAAGTAAAGCCAGACAGTTTATTACTAAAAGGCGCATATATCTCACAATGCAGGACAGTTCGCGACTTGGGCGTGCGGTATTCAGTCACATTTGACTTTTCTGAACATTATGACCCCCAAGTTTCGAAAACCATGAAGACCATCGGTTATATCTGCCATTATTTTACCTCACAGAATCTCGCATAGCGTTTAACGGAACCTATGTATTGCCGTGTATGGAATACTGTTCAATGGTCCAGTCTTTACTGTAGAAATCTGACCAGTATGCTCTTGAGAGTGTCCAGAGACGCTTCACGGAAAAGTTATGTGGATATTCCTCAAAGTTGACATACAGGGAGCGATTTGAGAATCTTGGATTTGACCCAGTTTTGCTTCGGAGAAGGGAGCTGAACCTAGGTTCTTTGTACAGAATCATAAACCTTCAAATTCGCCATCTTGTAAACTGTGTTCATGTGTCTTTAAACATAACATTTCGGACTGCAGCCCCTTTCATTTCATTGTTCTCTGCCCAAACATCTGTCATGTGATTGTGAGGAATGCTAGTTCAATGGCAGAAAAAATAGCAGAATTAATTTGATTACCTTTTGTTACCTAATTTGCAATTGCGCCCAAGTATTAATGCAATGCCATGGAAATGTTTCGCTATTATTTGTTCTGTTCCTTCTACGGAACAGCATCTCTCGTTGTCGAGGAATATATACTTTAGTTATTTAGCCATAACGTCAGGTTGCTCAGACCTAGACAGGAGAACGATTAGGGTTTTCTACCAATAACTTTGTTTCATACACCTGACTGCAAGCCAGCGGTTTTGGCGTTGGGCTACAAGGAGTCGGTTTTAAGGAACAAGGAGCCACCCTCATTCCAACCCACAACCTGGAGGACCCGGAGGTTGAGTTTGTCTGGCCTTTAACCATTGACCAATCTGGGATGAGTGGCTCTGAAGATGCATAAAATCACCACCCTGCATAGCTTAATGGATCTCGGAAGCATGCCAACCATCGCACTACGGTAAGGTCCAGCCAGCCTCATTGCAATGGAATACGGGTACCGCTCACAGCGATGTTCCTCAGGGCTCTGTTTTAGGCGCGCTATTGTTCCTTTTGTATATAAATGGTTTCGCTCCGCTCCTCGAGAGCTCTTGCTATGTCTTTTCAGATGGTGTAAAACTTGTAAACAGGGGGCGATTGAGGCACGTTGTCAAAAGATCGTTGCACTGTAACGAGATGGGATTTGCCCATTAGTGCCAGTAAATGTCACTTGTTGTCTTCCAGCAACGATGGGTTACAGTACAAACTGCTGCCCGCACCTTGATATTGCGGGCCGTTGATGAAGCTCGAGATTTGGGTATCATTATGACGAATACCTTCAAAACCTCAGCAGAGTGTCAGCATTCCGCCAATAAGGTGCGGCAGGAATTATTTCGCCTCAAGAAGATTTTATACAAGGCTAAGCCAAAGGATTTCCTCCCATTATAAAAGGCGGTGGTGCAACCTCACCTGGACTACTGTGAGTAGGTTTGGGCGCCGTATCTCAGGAAAGGGGTGAGCTGCATAGGAAAGGTCCAAAATCTGGCGATTAGGATGATCGAGGGCCAGTGCTGGAAATCATACGAAGACCACGATCAGCGGCCTAGGATTGTTCTCTATGGAGCGGCGCAGGGTACCAGGTGACCTGATAGAAACGTCCAACATTAAAAAGGGCCTTAACGGGATCAAGAAATCTGATTTGTTTGAACGTGCTGCATCAGACCACCTACGAAGGCATGAAATTAATATTAAACATCAGAGGTCCAGGCTGGAGATTAAGGCCTATTTCTTTGTAATTCGTGTCGTTCCTCCTTGGAACGAACTGCCTTCTGCCTTTATTGAAGGTGCCGCTGTAACAGACTTTAGAAGCGGCCTGAATAATTGTTGTCCGGATCTTTTTCCAAATTACTGTAAATTTATTGACATTTGTAATAGACCGTGCGGCCCATTATCCAAGGAAGTAGAGAGACTGCACCTGTCTTGTTTCATTACTTTACGGAGGCAAACAGGACAACTCACAAGTCGAATTACTGGGGATCTGAGTTACTTTCCGGCACAAGAAACAGGTCGCTCTTTAAACGGAAGCCTGTTTTCGTCCTTGGAAACTGACCTGACCTGACCAGGTATTCAATACAGTACTCGATCGATGTGTATTTAGGTCTTGCAGCCGCTTACGTGGTTCTGCGTAAGAGGATCTTAAAGCCTAGTTTGGTAGGGAAAGGTTTGCAAAATAACCATTCACATCGGAGAGCGGTGGAAAGTCCCTGAACGCCGATAACTTTATATCGACTCCAATATCACCAGACTGCTGCATATCCTCATTGAGGCCATATAAACCTCATCCACAACTGGAGGATGACGGTGTGATACAATGCAATGAGGAGAACTCTAATGTTGGGATGCGCTAGGCCTAAGTATTTAACAACTAGCTTATTCTGCCCAATTACCCTGTCTGTAGATGGTGCCGACAGCTAGTACACGATAGAGAATTCCATCCTTTGCTGTCAGATGACAACAGCTATCGGAAAAAGCAAGCGTCTGATAGGCTGTATTTCCTCCGAGTATTTTGCGTTTCATAACGCTCTTGGTTTTTAAGTAAAGTGAACCTAAGTTGTGTAGGACAAGCTACCGAGCTTCACGTATATGAGAATGTCGAAAATTATTGCGTGCACCCACACTCGCTTCTTTAACCCCCTCCTTGGACTGTCCATTGGTTTTGTTCCAGTACATCCGCTTTGTTCCGGACTCCAGCGCACTATCTCGATTTGGACCGCCTTGCTTATTCCTATCAACTGGACAACATCCTTACGCTGTCTTGCTGCGTTTTCGCACTTAATGCCCTACTATCCCTACACTTGTACAAGCACAGTCAACTTCATAGGCTCCTTAAAAGTTCACATCTTTGCTCAATAGTTAGACAGCGTCATCTCACATTTTGTGTCTCCTGCTTTTATTATTCCAAGTGTTCGAATCGATGCTTGGTCTGGTCTACCAAGTAGCATCAATCTCTAAGTGCACTCTGAGGACAGGTCACGTGAGAGCTACCTGTTTCTCGTCGTCCATAGATGCTTTTATGCTTTAAGCAATTGCAATCAATGGACTCACACATGAGACTCGGACGATGAAGAGCGATTTGGTGTAGCGACAAATGTACTAAGCCACAATCTCGTCGGCATTATGCATATGGTGCAACGATAAGTGCTTCATCTCAACCATTCTTGCCAGTCATCAGCCGAACCTGATTCACATCAGCTGTGACTCGTATTTACATCTCTGTTTTGAGCTTCTTCTTCCAGATCGTACTCCATACATGTTGTGGGATGGAGCTGTGGGTAGCATAATGTATGTCACGCCCACCTATCTGAATTGCAAGTACCCTGTGGTTGTTCGCATTCACAGCGTCAGGAAAATATGAAAGCAAATGCTACGCCACAAGCCGACATGAAAATCGGCTCAGGTCTGTTTTGGTGTCATGGTTCGTTCTAATCAGATAAAAGTATAAGTCCTCTGTTCACAACACGGTGTCCGTTGGTACGGAACCAACTCCAGGCGCAGAACCAGGGGCGGAATACAGTATTCTAACGGTAAAATGTTGGCAAACTAACCGTTACAGCTGACCGATTTAGATGCATTTTCTAGTTGGATGTACGTACAAGAAGTATCTTTGAAAATTCAATGATTATCTAGTACACCTAAAGTGGGGATCCAGTCATCCTGTGCGTAAAGTCCAAAAAGAACTTTGATTTATTCCCCAACCTGGATTGCTTATTTGAGGACACTGTATCCCTATGCCCTAAGTATTCTGCTCAATTTACATTGCTTTCACTGTGTGCTACAATCGGTTATCATACTGAGGCTTTGTTACCTTCACTCTGGGTCACTGATATATCCTTGACGTTTCAAGGTCATCCCTATTATGCTGTTGCTGTGACACTGCCCAAATTACCTCACGCTGCCGCACGCTTTACAATTTCTGCACTCTGGCACTGCCATTGCACAACCTATTCGTAAGTCGTGTGCTGTACTTAATTTGCCTTATAGAACCACGATTACGGGATAATTCTTTTTATTATTTTGCCCAGACCGTGCGTTAAGTCTGGGTTTATTGGTTCCTAGTTGCTAGTTAAGGTTTCGTACGACGAACTTAGTTTAAGCTTCATGTCGTTGGTACACGGTGATCGGTGCTGCAGGGAGCTTTATTCTTGCCTACTTTACCACATCAACTTTCCCACACAAAACAAAAGTGGTTTTGGAAACAATAAACTGTATGTATACACTGTTTCTTATGCCACAAAGCGTGATGTTCATATACGTATACTGTAATCGAATCGAATCTTACAGTTACTTACATGACATTATCTGACTCACAGTGAGTTCTACACCGGCTATCGTCCAACAGACGCCCAGTAGCCTGATTTGCTCTCCGACAACTGCTGCAGCGATTTCAAACATCGCACCACTTGACCAAGATCTGTGCGTAGATTCAACTGATCTACTGTGAATAAATCTTGAGGACTCACGCCAACCGCTTTGGCGTATTGGATGAACACGGTGATTCGTTTCCGCTGAAGTGCAGTTTCAAGGTAATCCAACTCGGAAGACTTCCAAGTTCTCATGGCATCTAACTTGGCACACATGGACGGATCGAGAGCTGCCATCACGAAGCCCAAAAGCATCCCGTCGCTCAGACACTGTGCGTACATCTCTTCGGTGACACGTTCTATGGACGACGGAATACGCTTACAGGCATTCACCATCTGCTCGGCTGTAGTCTCAGGCACGGGGAGCGATCGAATCCACGATAGTGTACGTGCCGCCTCCACTTCATCGAACGTCACACTTCGATTGGGTTGCATGTGTTATAACAGCGACACCAGTCCACGTTGTTTAACCGGGTGCTGTGATACAACTCATTACGCGCCTATTGTCCCTCAAACGTTCGATTCTTGGTTCCTCGGATTGGCGTGTTCGCTCACAATTCTGATTGGGGTGCGACAAGCGGAGGCACATATATGGCGAGACGCCACTTGGTACTCACACAATTATGCAAATGTGAACGATCGAATTCTCACCATCGCACACAGACACGTACCAGTGAACAAAGCCCTTACCTGATCTGTATTTCGGTTTCGGTCTAAAGGAGGTCCAGCCCCTCAAGATGTACAATGTTATGACTATGTTGGGAAGGAACCTGTCATGTGAATTTTAATAAACGTAGGTGTCTACTAGAAATAGTCTCAAACGGCGGATGTAAAACCCAATAAATCGTTTTCCTCTCATATAGCGTTTCGTTTTCTCCATTTTTCTCGCCATACTTCGGATGACACAATGTCTGTTACCAGAGTATATATATATATATATATATATATATATATATATATATATATATGGCGACTTCCAAATTGATGATCCCGTCCTTTCGAACAATCTATAACTAGTAGCACAATGCCAATGGAGCTACTGAATGATGCATGCTACCGTGTTAAGTGTTCACAGGTTGCATTTTTCAAACTGGCTTTCTATGAAAGGCATTGAGCTTCCATTCGCAACGAATTGGCTGCCTTGTTTAGAAACACACGCCAAGATGTATCAGTGAGTACTACTCAATCCTACCGGTTAACCTCCATATTTTCCCCTCATGTCAGAAACGTGAAACGGAGGTATTTTCTGATGAGTTTACTGCGACTGTAATAGAAAACACCGATTGTTCCCTATGTATTTCTGCTTGTGATTTTAACCGAACTGACACCGCTTTTCTCCCCAGTTTTGGTCTACTGAACCTCGCAAACAACCCCATCAGATCCGGTGCGAAAATGCGCATTGATCTGTTAACAACCTGAAACTATTCTCCGCTGCTAATATGGCATAGTATAGTAGCTCTCTTCGTTCGGCAGTTAATCTATGTCCTCTAGTCTGTTTTAAGGCAAAGCAAAAACCAGCTACTCCTTGAAACGGTTTCAAATTCGATAAGAGGAAATGTTCCGCATCTAATATTATCCGACTACGAGAACTGTTACCATTCACCTACTTCAGTTAAATTTTCACCACTGATCTTTCCACGGATTACTATCAGTTGACAAACTAGCTTGCTTTATGTTCCGACGTTTACTGTCCATAAGGAACTGTTCATCCGTGCGGACAGGATCTTTCCACCCTAACTGAATCGGCTGCGTAGATTAAAGGAGAAAGTTTTCAAAAGAAGAGACGACACCTCAGTAAAGCTTCTCTCTGGACTTATTAAGGATGAGTTACGTCCTCCCAGCAACGTGCATGTTCAGGCCATACTTGGAATAGTGGCTGTCTTAAACTGGAGAATGCAGAAACAGCAGCAGGGTTCCAGGGCGTTTCGAAACCTCTGGCGTAGATGTGGAAGGTCTGAATCATGACTTCTTCATTTGGTACAACAATCCGCTCTCTGTCTCATCCTTTTCCTACCCCAATTTGTCTGCAGATTCACTACTCCCTGACGACAACAACACTGTGCACAAGTTACTGAAACAGTCACACTCAGGGAAAGCAAGTGATCCAGATCGACTGTCTCCGGTTGTCCTCAAAGAAAGTGCTGACTTTTTTGACAAAACCTCTGGATATTTTATACGCATTGTGTATTCTGCAAAATAGTATTGCAGGCTGCTGTGGAGGTGCCAGTATAACACCAGCATCAAAGAAGGGCTCATACAAACATACACCAATTGCTTACGCTTCAGTAGTCCTGAAGGGGTTCGAAAAATATCTTGAGAGAATGCTAGCACCGAATTGGCCAAGTGACTCACTACAATTTACCCACTGGTGATCTTAGTCAGCCCATGACGCATTAGTCTATCTTCTGTATTCGGTTCTTTCAGTACCGAACAATAGGATCAAGTTAACTCCAATCTGTTTTCTGGACCACAGCAAAGCATTCGGCTGCGTTGACAGTGAACTACTTGGTGCTGAACTACATCCTTTATGGACTTTTTTCCACCGTTTAAATTGTCGGTTATCCGACCTCGCCCCTAATCGCACACCCCATTTATATGCTATACTCGAAGACGAAGCCCACGGTACGCCCACAAGTTCACGGTCAGCTTGTTTCGACGAAAATTAGAATACGTGTTGACTCCTCCTATCAGCCGGTGTTTTGGAGTCACGCCATCTCCATCTACAATGAGTGTGACAAATATTGGTATCCCAGCCTATGTTGATTGGAGTGAAACTGTGATCACACATGCGTTTTGTATGCGTGCCTCAATAAGCCGAAGTAAATTTCTACCATACATAATGTATTTTTCCCCAGTATATTGCTTTCAGAATGGATTTTAATTGGATTGACCAATTTGTATCTGTTTCGAAATGATCGCAGCACTAGAGAAGACGTAAAGCGTGGCAAATGCGTACAGCAGCCATTTACAGCAGAGCATGTTGACCACTCACAACTGGAAAATGTCCCTTAATCTATTAGGTTGTCAATTGCAGGCGCCTCGCCATACGTGCTACTCCACTATATCTACAACCTACCGAATGGTTCTAACGTGAGGATCGCTAATATCACGTCTGCCTTTGAGCTTACATCAGGGTTAACATAAACACAGAAGATAATTGCTGGTGATTTCAAATTACCAAAAGTCTTCTGGTCACCCTGTAGTGGACAAAAGGCGGCCACCACTGCGCCAATTATCAGTAGTGTGGTGCAAGGATGCGAAAAAGCAACCAGCCAACAATAGGCCGTAATGACTTCCCCAATGGAGAGGAACATCTTGGAACCACAGTTGTATGCGCACGGGGAATGGACACATAAGCAATGTACATCACACGACTACTGGACTCAGAAAGAAACCAGCGCCTTGCAGTCTTCAAACGAGATGACGAAGATGGGGGAATATTCCGTTTGTCAGAACGAATATAATTAGTATTAGCTGTGACTGCACAATACCCATTTCCTCTCGCTCCTCGGATTGTTGGTGCAGTGGTCAACCAAGCTACAACATGAAGATCCTCTGGCCGGAGCTGTTCGTAGAAGGGGATGTGATCAGCTTCTTGGAAGACTTCGATGGGTGGCGAGGCGGTTGGAGTCTAGACCGACCGCGTAAAGCTGGTGGCCTTACGGTGCCTCCTCAATATTGGGGCGAAGGCAGTCATGGGGGCAGCGCGAAGAGGCCCTTTCAAGGTGCAGTCCGTATTGGACGACGTGGCTGACCGCCGGGTGGCTACGTGGCGTTTCAAGACGGCGCGGATTGGTGTAGGGGCGGATCCCGTATGCACTTGCATATTTAGTCGGAAACACTGGCCCTCGCATGGTTAGTTGTGAACGAACTTACCTTACTTTCCTTATTTCATTGGCTTTCCTTTCCGGCTTTTCTAGCCACTGGAACGCAAGATGCTTTTAGCAAATCAGTTCCATACGACCCATGAGGGCTCTGTTCCGTTTGTCTGCTAAGGACCATCCTTAACACTCTGGCGATGAGGTTAAACTACTGCGATGTTGCACCTTCCTACACTACTTTGGAAGCTCCCTTCTGAGAAACCAATACCCTCTACCTGTAACTTTTGGAAGCGCACTTTTTGGATTAGTTGGAGCTACTAACCGTCTTGTAACCAAATACCGTACTTTCAGACAGCCAAAAAATTAAATTATTGAGACTATTTTTGGGGATGAATGCCGAGGGCCTTTAGTTGCCCTCTATGTCGGTGAGCAGGAGACAGTCAACAGCGCGCTAGAAGTCCTCAGCCAGTTATGGGGATCACGACTAAACACATACACTGCGCGGCATTATCGATCTTGCGTCAAAACCCTGAAGAAAGTGTCATAGATTTCATTACGCGGATTCGTCAAGCCCTACCAAAGTGTCGGTGTATTGAAACTCCAGCTACGAACTTCGAGGAGGCGATAGCTTTAAACTACTTGATATCCGGTATCCGTAACGAACAAACTGGTGAAAGGTTGTTGTCGGAAGATGAGACGACGATGAACTGGGAGATGGCCTGCAATATTGTTCGACAGCTGGAGGATGTCCATAAACATTTAGGAGCTTTTTCTTTGCAACCTCATACAGACACAATACAAGAAGTCGACCGAAAAGATAGTACCCCAATACGGTCCGAATTGCCTTTTACCTGTTACCGATGTGGAAGTCAGCATTTATCAGCCGAGGAATGTCGTCCTAAACATAGTATCTACCGCCAATGTGGAAAATTAGGGCACTTGGCCCGAGTTTGCCGATCTAACGCTTGCACAGCTGCGACAGTACCTTTTCTTAAGAAGCCTGTGAAGGTCGTCCAGTCTTCAAACGAAGAAGACCAGCTAAACACGATCTGGAACGCAACGCCGAGCATCTGCAGCATTCACCCACTCTACGCTGTGCAACTGGAAATAGAAGGCCAATTGATTAACATTTAAGTTGATACCGGTGCGTCAGTTACCATAATCAGTGCTGAATCAGTTAAAAGATTACCCAGATTATTCCCCTGTGAGGCAGTTTTGCGTATGTACACTGGGTAGCCGATTCCAGTTCTGGGAAAATGCACTATTCATGTAAATTACCATGGGAGAAGCGGACCTAACAGGTATATATTGTGGCAAATGATTGTCCGACTGGATTAAATGCCTGCCGGCCACGCTGGAGGCAGTGAAGTTCATGTTCATTAACCAACGCTTGCAGGATGTGCTCAACAAATATTCTGACGTTTTCGATGAGAAACTAGGAAAACCGCACGGATATAAAGCTAGTATAAAGTTACGGCCGGGAACTCAGCCCCGCTTTTTCAGGGCACGTACCCTACCTTATTCCCTGAGATCAAAAGTGGAAGATGAGATGAAGAAGTTGCAATCAGCAGGAACGACAGAATCAGTCCACTACAGTGAGTGGGGAGCTCCAATCGTTCCAGTCCTGAAGCCGGGTGGTTTTATTCGTATTTATGGTGACTATAAACTAACTGTTAATCCTTGTTTACTTCTGCAAAAGTATCTCTTACCTTAGATAGAGGATCTGTGTGTTAAGCTGGCAGGGCGACAAACCTTTACACAGATCGACCTCAGTCACGCGTAC